TTCCCTACTTCTGCCCTTAGGACCGCCTTGAAGCCAACCAGATGCTCAGAACCATTGGGCTGGAACAGATCAAGGCACATGGGCTAGAGGAACTCACATTTGACCGACTCAGGAAGAAGACATATAATGAACCCTTCTTTGTAAATGAGACCAAAACTCCCAAGCCCAGACAGCCCAAACCTGTCTCCTCTCCCTTTCCTGGAGATCTCCCTTGGCTTGGCTCCAACCACATCACCTCCCAATTATCATATACACACTAACCTACTCCCTGCTCCCCTAGTGCAGCCTATAGTATCAAGCCATCTTACCTCTGCTCAGGTACTTCTCACAGCTTAAAATGCCCTGTCACCCCTCCCTTTCTGTAAGGTCAAAACAAAACAAAACAAAACTGTCTCCTTCTCTTCACTCCCACTCTCCCTCTCTCAAAATATTCTATTACTCCTTCAAGACCAGTTTAAACACCTATGGGAAGCTTTACCAAATCACCAATCAAAATGGACACTGTCCTCCTTTGTACCCTTGCTTTCTATCATTACAAAATGAGCCACAGCACTTCTGAAGACATCTTCCTAAAATGTAAATCAGATTGTACCTTACCTCTGCATAAAACTTTTCAGTGTTTCTCAATGCCCTCAGAATGGCTTACGCTGCTTTCATTATCTCAAGCCCTGCTTACTGCTCATTTCATCTCTCACCACCCCCACCTCAGAGCCACACGTCAGCTAGGGTCAGGAAGCTCATGTCCTGATTTATACTGGTTATGCCAATGTAATTCCTCAGAATGCTCCGAAGAGTCTGAATTTGAGCACTTCATTAAACTCAACTATTTTTGACTTCCCACCAACTCTGTGCTTCTTGCATCCAGGCTTTTCACATACTCTCCTCTCCTCCCCCCACCCCCACCCCCATGCTCTGCCTGGTTAACACCCTTGCACCCTTTCTCTCTCTCTCCCCCTTCTCTTTCTCTGTCTCTCTGATGAATGCATGTGCCCTATAGCAAATTAAAAAATGATAATAAAATTAAATAAATAATTCTATATACTTCAGTTGAGGCATCATCTCCTTCAGGAAATGTTCCTGATAGGATACACTTTTAGTGCATCCTACATGGTACTGTAATTACCTATTTATTTGTCTGCTTTCTCCACCAGCTTAAGAGCAACTCAAAGCAGGGACCTTATGTGGCACAAATCAAGTGTTCAATAAAGGTTTGTGAAGCACTTCAGTGTATACCCCTACATTCCCGCTCTTTGTTGTCCCACTTTAATCCCACTGCAGGCTATGAGACAAGCTGTGGCTAAAACCGTGGAAGTGCTCAAGATGAAGCCTACAATGATAAACTTGGTGGAGGCGTGAGTGTTCTGAGCTGGGAGCTGTCAGGGCCAACTTCTAGGCCAGAAGGAAGTATAGCGGTCAGCTGGAAACTTGCCTGTGCCCCCCAAATCCTGGGCTGAGTCACTATTTGACCCCTGAGCTTTTGTTCATCTATAAAAAGAGGTTTAAAATACCTATCACTGGGGCTGGTAGGTGATATGGTGGTTAAGGGCACTAGACTCCCACATGCCCAACCACAGTTCAAGTCCCAGACATGGAGGATTGCTCTGCTCGCTCGCTCGCCCTCTCCTTCTCTTTCATCAAAATAAATAGTTAAATTTTAAAAATATTTAAAAAAAAAAATAAAACCCTATCACTAAGAAACCAGTAGATGGCATAATGGTCACATCACTGGACTCCCATATGGCCAAATGTGGTTCAAGTCCTGGACCTGAAGGCTTGAAACTCATGCCAGTTGTGTATGCATGTATACCCAAAATCCTGAGAAGAGAATGGAGAAGGATTTGCAGCATGGCCACCCTCCCAGGGGATGATTTCTCGTTTTCTGTCTCTATCTCTCCAGCAAGTGCACGTGCCCTATAGTAAAAATCTCCAAAAACAAAACAAAACAAAAAACTATCACTTAGGGTTAATAGTCAAATTAATATGACATGAAAGGAAGTTTGAAAAGGTAAAATTTTGATTAGATGTGAGTCCTGATCAACATGTAGTTGCCTCCTAGCAAACTGCAATACCTGCTCCTTCCCAGGCCCTTTCCTGACCTGAAAAACAGGAGGAAAACACATGAAATTAGCATCACTCATCAGCATTATACCCAACTAATTCAGGGACTGAAAGCAATCTGGTCCCTCCCACTCTTCCTTCCCTTTTATTAGACCACAACAAACTTCTTCCCTTCTATATAGGCAACTGATGAATCCAAATGACACTGCACGCCAGGAAGCAGTCACCTCTTTGGTAAGGCCTAGCTCTGCTTCTCTAACTTGATCCTGACATGTGTTCATCAACACATGCAGAGGGAGGAGGCAATTGAGAAGAGTCACTGTGGGGAAAAAAGGACTATAAAGTTTGAGGACATAGAATTCCAGTCCTAAAAGGAGTTCAAAATAATCTTTTCTCCATGGCTGGGATAGGATAAGGGACATGGATGTGAGAGGCAGTTCCCAGATACTGCAGATATTAACTTGGCATTCCCTAGAAAAGAATGGACACTGAAACCCCATGCAGTGTCTCCAAAGGGTAAGGAAAGGGCTCTCTCACTTGGGAAGCTGTATCTCCTCCTCTCTAGGCCACAGGATCATCACAAAGGGTTAAACTGGGCAAGTAGATGGGCATCTTACTGGGGCAGGAAACTTAGGCTCTCTCTCTCTGTCTCTGCCAGAGCGTCCTGGGAATCCGCAACCCGCAAGTGTTCCATTTGCTCTTAGACATGCTAGATGCAGAAGAGAACCAGGCTGTGAAGACAAGTGTAAGGCATTCATACCCATCTCTCCCTTTTTTCTACTCCTCCTCCAAGCAGCTTCCACCTATCTCCCCATTTGCTCCTTGTCAGGAGAGGAATGAGTCCTCAGATACTGTTCCTTGAACTCATTCCTTGAGGCCACAGTGGCCTGTAACTAGAGGTTCCTCTCCCCGTTGGGTGGCCTCTCACTTCCCAGCCTGAGCCCAGAATGAGCCAGCCCTATGGTATTTGTTTTCAATGCAGCTACAAGAAACATTAATCCTTCGAGCCTCAATTGATCCTTGGATCCAAAATAAGGTAAAGAACAAGATTTTCTTCGTGTGTGAGGCACCTAAGACCAATGTGAAGATAGAGCCTACAAGGTTCCGAAAGCAGCCTGAGATCCCTGAAGAGTTAAATATCCAAGACTTCCGACTCGCAAAGTTGAACCCCTTGTTTGTTGCAAAGTCCAGCACCAAAGTTGAACAAAAGAAAAAGCTGCCCGCCTTCCCACCCTGTTTCTTGAAACCACAAAAACATAAGCCACAGGCTACAGGGCCATGGGAGCCAAGCATCAGGACTCTTGCAGAAAACTCCAAGTAACTCTTGCAGAAAACTCCAAGTCCGCTCTTACCCCTACTCTCTAAGGATGCTTATCAGATTCCCCTGTAAAACAATCTATACCTCATCATCTATGAATAAATGAGTATCATTCTACCTACTATACCTAAATTATTACTACCACTGCTGTGCCCTTCACCAGGGTCTGCACTAGAGTATAGGTCTCCTCCTTACTAGATAGGCATCCTTTCAGTTACGTCCTTTCATCAGGGAAAGAACGTACAGAGCCAAAGCTTCTCCAGATGACCAGCCAGCCTCCCTAAATCATGTCCTTGTCTGTGCCCAGGACTTTATGACAAATCTAGAGTGGGGCTTCTGCCTAAAAGGGGCTGCTAAGGACCATACTTAGCTCTTGGACCATTTCCTCTTGCTAACTAGCCCCACCCCTCTACCTTCCTATCAGTGGTCAAGAAATAATTTTTAAGACCAGTAGGTGGTGTGGTGGATAAGGTGCTGGATTCCCACATGGCCAAACATGGTTCAAGTCCTGGACCTGGCAGCTTGCTTTCTCGCTTTCCCTTTCTCTCTCTTCCTCTGCTTCTGTCTGGTCAAATTAAAAAATAACAACAAATGGAATTAAATAAATAATTCCTTAAAGAGAGAGAGAGAATTTTTAATCAGAGCCAACATCCTCTCTGCTCTTCTACTTAGGTATCTACTTTCTTTTTTGTTTTTTTTGTTTGTTTGTTTGTTTTGAGAGGGTTTTTTTTTTTTTTTCACTATAGGGCGCGTGTGCTCGCCAGACAGACAGAGAGAGACATAGAGACAGAAAGCGAGAAATCACCCCCCAGGGGGGATGGTCACGCAGCAATCCCTTCTCCTCCATTCTCCTCCCGGGATCTTGGGCACGCACGCACACGCGCCTGGCGTGAGTTTTAAGCCACCGGGTCCGGGACACGAACCACGGTCGACTATGTGGGAGTCCAGCGACATAGCCATTACGCTAACTGGTTCCCAGGTATCTACTTTCTATACCCCTCAGTAGATCATTCTGAGACCCTAATTATTCTGTAAAACTGCCTTACATTCTCCTTTATTTGTAGGAAGTTTCAATTTCCCCCTTTGCCAATAGGACCTACCACAACAATCTCAACAAGTTACAATTCCTATCAAAAAGGAAAAGCCCATGGGCTGGCAGGTGGCGTGATGGTTAAAGGCACTGGATTCCTACATGGTCAGCTACAGTTCAAGTCCTGGACTGGCAGTTTGCTTTCTCACTTTCCCTTTCTCTCTCACTGTCTCTGGTCTGGTCAAATAAAAAAATAATAATAGTCGTAACAAATTTAAAAAAAAAAAAAAAAGAGAGAGAGAGAAGTCCCCAGACAATGAAGTCAGACAAATTTGAAATTTAATCCTAGATTTCAATCTATCGAGTACTTGATATCTGACTTTGGATAAGTTACCTTTTATAATTCTGTTTTTTTCACCTACAAAATGAGTATCACTACCTCAGAGAGCTGTGATGATTAATATGAATATAAAGCCTAACATTAACTGGCTTTCCATAGTAAATACTCAGATTTTAATTTCTTTTCTCCTCTTTCCTCTCTCCAGTATTGTCATCTGAGTCTGTGATCACTACGTATCAGAAAAGATTGTTTCCTGCCACTTCCTTTTACTCCAATCCTATCATAGTAATCTAATGGAAGGTGAAGTTCACCTCATCAAGCATAGAAAGGTCAAAGTAAAATAGGGGCTCCCTTCTACCTCCCCACAACTCAGGTTCTAGAGACCTCCAGCTATTCTGAATTCAGCAGTGTGTGTCACTCAGAGTTATTTCCCAACTTATCCCACCACTTCTGTAACACCCGAAAGAGTAGTTTCACTATTCTAGATTATAAGCAGCATTACCTGTGGACCCCTCTAATAGTGTGCGATAAAAGCTCAAAGATAGGAAAGATGTCCTCCTTCTCTTGCCCACACTACAGCTTTGGGCCTATGAGCAACCTAACTCAAGTTTCTCTGAGCTTTGACAGCCTGTGGAGACAAACAGCTTTATTAACTACATAATTCAGACTATCAACTTCAGCAAAATCTTGCCCACAGATCTTTCTCCATATTTCTGGGTATCCCCAGAGAATATCCTATTACTTGGTCACATATCAGTTTCTGCCCAGTAGCAACTCAATCCTAATTTTGCCAGGTCTCACCAAATGGCTTAAGACAGCAATGAGCATAAACATCTTTACAGAGCACCCCACCAATGTACAAGAGCCTTCTCAATACCAAAGCTACCTAGATCACTCTTAGAACATTCTGAAACCAAGCAGTAGTCAGCTTCTCTAAATTCTAATCATCAGAGTCCCACTCATCTTAACCATCAAAATCTTTGGGGATTCATCTTTGGACATGATCCAATGTATGCCACTATCATCTCCTCTGCCCCAAATCTAATGGGATCTCTGGATACTCCCTCTGATGGCTAATAAAATACATCTACACCTTCAACTTCTTCCTCACACATTCTCATCTCTTTCCTGGAACTGAAATCTGAAATTCTTTTTGTGGTAGAAGTTTTTGCCTTAGAATGTGTACACTTGTCTGAGAGAGAAAGAGACAGTGAGAGATCACTCCCCAGGGGGAATATAGCCCCGTAATTCCTTTGCCTCCATTCTCCTCCAAAAATCTTGGGCATGCACACATACATGCCCAGCTTGAGTTTCAAGCAACCAGGCCCGGGACTCAAACTACAGTCGGCCATGTAGGTGTCCAGCAATATAACCACTATGACATCTGCTAGCCCCAAATGTGGCATTCTTTACATTGTCTTTTTCCTGAAATCTCTCAGGATACTACTCACTCTCCTACATTCTTTCCAATGTTGTGACTGTTTTGCACCTTCATATAAACATCTCCAACCAGCTGTGTCATCTTCTGTCCCACTCCTTCTCATGCATAGCCTTACACTTGGTCCCATTGAACGATCCAATACTCTAGCCCTACTCTTGGGATTTCATCTACATTTTTCCTTTCTATTCACTTCAGCTACACCTCCATGACCACACTAAATCCTATCATCCAACCGCTGCTTCATCACTGAAATCTTAAACATCTCACTGACCCAAACCTTCTACCAATGTAGAGTTCAGTTCTCATTATCCTTACAAGTTCTTTGAATTTCATTAACACCCAGCAGCTCGACATTCATCCTATTACTCCCTCTTCCCTTTTCGTCCATGTTAGCCTGACCCCATCCATCAATCACTATCTATACGGAATCAAACCTTGTCTATTCCCACAATCACGTTGCTGATCAAAGCTGGAGAAAAATCACATATCCGTAGATTGGTATACCTAAATACTTGCCTCTCACCTTAACTGAGCCCTTACTGTTTTCTGGTAATTTTATAGGTTCGTAGACATAGCATTTCTCTATTTCCCAAAGGTTATTTCAAGCCTTCCTTCTATCCTCACATTTCCTAGTTTCTAGAACGTTCTAACATGTTATTCCCCCCCAACTCTCAGCAAACCATTATATTTCTTATCAAGGAAAAAGAAAAAAAAAAAAAAAAAAAAAAAAAAAAAAAAAAAAAAAAAAAAAAAAAAAAAAAAAAAAAAAACAGATGGAATTATCTCAACCTGCCACCTTAAGCACTAAGTCTTCTTGCGTACAGAAGAACTCAGGCTCTAAAGTCAGATCCCTCAGTAAGAATGTCCCAGCCACTTACTAGAGAAGAGATCTTGGTCAAGATGTTTAACCTCTCAGTGCCTCTGTTCCTCACTGTACCATTTGGAAAGACTCTTCCCCATGGCAACCAAAGTCATTTATACCACCCATTCTGTGAAATTTTCTTTATACATCTTGGACTCACAGGATTATTAGAGCTAATACACATCAAGTGCTTAGAACTGCCTGACACATAGTGAGCTCCCAATAATAATAACTTGTCATTTGTTACTATTATGAGCATCTCTACCTATTTTTGCCTCCAATCACCAAACAGGCAAACATTCTCTACTAAGGCAAATGCTTCCTTTGCCATTGTTCTAGATGCGTTTTCCTCAAAGAGTTTGAATTATCAATTATCTCCATTACCTTCCCAAGCAGTACATAAACATGCTGAACATTAAAAATAACTTCTGGGCAACGAGTGCACAATTGGGACCAGCAGTTAGTGTGATGGCTACATCACTGGACTCCCATGTAATTGACTGTGGTTCGAGTTCCGGACCAGGTGGCTTAAACTCACGCTGGGCGCATGTGCATGCCCAAGAAGCCAAGAGGAAAATGGAAAAGGAATTGCGACGTGGCCATCCCCACTGGGGGAGGGGGGTGATTTTTCGCTTTCTATCTCTCTGGCGAGCGCACGCACCCTATAGCAAAAAACTCTCAAAAAAAAAGTCAAATAAAATAACTTCTGGGACCAGCAGATGACATAATGGTTTCATCACTGGAATCCTGTCGACTGTGGTTCAAGCCCCAGATCCAGCAGATTAAAACACACCAGGCACATGTGTGTATGCCCAAAATACTGAGAAGGGATTGAGACTGGGCCACCCCCCCCCCAGAATGATTTCTTGCTTTCTGTCTCTCCAGTGAACACACACACCCTATAGAAAAATCTCTTAAAAATAAACTTCTAACATGTCCTATCTCTAACTGTCTCTTCCTCACACATCATCCTAGCTCTTGACCTTCATAATCAAGATTCTTAGTTGTCCACATTACCTGTCACCATTTCTGCAAATTTTGTTATTATCCCCCTTTAATTTGGGTTCAGAATTCAATCCCTCCCCCCACAACTGCTTTTGCTAGGACAACGGTTCTCACAGTAGGGATGATTTTGTCTCCCAACCCTTAGACAACATGTGGCCAGGTCTAGAGTTACTTTTGGTTGCCAAAATTGGAAGGCAGGGGCTGCTATTGGTGTATAGTGGGTAGAGGCCAGAAATGCTGCTAAATATCCTATAATGCACTGGACAGTCCTACACATCAAGGGATTATCCAACTCGAAATGTCAATAGCAGGCCAGTAGATGGAATGGTGGTTAAGGCATGACTCCCACATGGCTGACCACGTTTTGAATTCGAGTTGGTGCCTTGCTTTTTCACTTTCCCTCCTGATCTTTCTCTGCTGAGCACATGTGCCCTATAGCAAAAACTTAAAAATAGTAATTATACATAAAATGAATTTTTTTACATATCAATAGTACTAAGATTGAGAAATTCTGTGCTAAAATAATTTACAACTTCTATATTGCTAAATTTAATGTATGCTTTCTATCCTTTACATGATTTGACATGGCTTGAAAGCACCTGACACCATTAACTTCTCCATTTCTAAAATCCAACCTTCGCTTTGATCTTGCAGACCACATGTTGCTGGCCACTCCCAGTTCAGGATTCTCTTCTGCTCATCTCTTCCGCTCATCTCTTCCATGTATTTCTCAAGGTCCTGCCTTAAGCTCGCTCTCCACATACTGTCTCCCCTAGAGTCACCTGCGACTCTTAAAAAAAAATATATATATACAGGCCAGGCCTCATTCACAGACTTGCTTTGGAGAAAAGTCTAGATAAAATGCTAGATAAATTCAAAAGCTTTTGGGACCAACAGATGGCATAATGGTTATGTCACTGGACTCCCACATGGCCAACTGCAGTTTCAGACCTGGAGGCTTGAAACATGCTAGGCCCATGTATGTGCATGCCCAAGATCCCAAGAAGAGAAGGGAGAAGGGAATGCGGAGAGGCTATCACCTCAGGGAGAGGGGAAGATTTCTTGCTTTCTATTCGTTTACCTGGCCCATGCCCTATAGCAAAAATCTCTCTAAATAAATAAACAAATTTCTTAAAAATCTTTAATTCAAGCATAGAGCTAAGAGAACCACTGCTGTAGGCTGTTTGATTTTAATCATATCCATTCATCATTTCAATTCCCATTTATATGTTTATGATCGTCATATCTGTCATCTATAATAGTTTTACTCATTCCCTAAGCACCTCCCCTGTGCCTGACCACTGCTTTATGCACTAGGTTAGAACACTGAGCAATAGTTAAGGTTCTCTAATCTTCTTAAATAGGGAGAAATTAAAAATCATCATTTCAAGCAGTGGTAAGTACTGAGAAGACAATACAAGAGGCAATGTTAGTGGGAAGGGGTAACATCTTAGCATGACCAGAGAAGATCTGAGAGTGTAAAATTGGACCTAGTTCTGTAGTAAAAATTAGTCTGCCTTGTAAATAGCTGAGGAAAGAGAATCCTAGACAGATACTTAAGCAAAAGTATATCTAGTACTATGAAGAAATTTTTTTTGTGTGTGTGTGTAGGGGGGAAGGTTTTTATCTCAGGGTATATGCACTTGCCAATGAGAAAGACAGAGACTTTGAGAGAGAAAGAAATTCCACACACTCCCAGCCAGGGGAGATGGCTACACTGCAATCCCTTCTTCATTCTCTTCCAGAGATCTTGGGCACGCACACATGCCCATGCACCTGCCATGAGTTTTAAGCCACCAAGTCTGGGACTCTAACTGTGGTTAGCGATATGGGAATCCAGTGATGTAACCACTACGCCATCTGCTGGCCCACTATCAAGAATTGTGATCAACATGGTCAAAGCAAAGTACAGAGAAATGTTATGTGAGGAGGTTGGAAAAGCCAGATGTCACATCTTATAGGGCTTTTTTATTCAGGGTAAGGAATTTATATTACAGTCTACATGCTATGTAGTCATTAAAGGGTACAAAGAAGCCTAACTCATAGTCTGATTTACATCTTTAAAATATGATTTGGCTGTGTGAAAAGTGTATTTTAAAGGACAAGATTGTATAGGGGGGCCTATAGATAAGCTATTGCAATTATCCAGAAGAGCTCATTGTAACTTGTACCAGAACTGTTACCAAAAATAGAAAGATGGTTTTAAAATATATTATAGAGATAGAATTAAAAAGACTTGTGGGTATAAGATGAATAAAAAAGATCTTATCTTATCTGGTAAATAGTAAAGACATTTACATTTACTGAGATTAGGAAGGCTACAAAGAAATCAAATTAGAAGGGGACATAAGGTACTGGACTCACATGGCTGACCATGGTTCGAGTTCCTGGATCTAACAACTTGCATTCTCACATTCCCCCTCTCTCTTTCTGGTGAGCACAAGTGCCATATAGCAAATTTTCTTTAAAAATAACAACAATAATTAAAATGAAATAATTCTTAAAAAAAAAAAAAAAAGTTCATATGAGCTTACCCAGGATAAAACTGAGTTAAAAAAAAAGGGAGGGGGGCTTGGAAAAACCTTCCAACATGTACAGGCTAAATTGAGAAGCTATAGCAAAGGAGACAGAGGTTGCTAAGGAAGAAAAATCAGTCAAGTATGGTGTTAATGCCACTTTCTAAAGTGTAGACACACACTTCTTGCTACCTACAAGACGTCTCTACTTTTAAGTTTCACAAGTACCCTAAATTCAACGCACCCAAAACTTAATTTCTATCCTGCCCACAAAACTGCTTTCTTCCAGTGTTCCCTATTTCAATGAAAAGCACATCTAATCAATCACCCAGGACAGAAACCTGACCCCTCCTTCTCCATTATTATGAACACCAGACTAACTCCTGTCACATTTCCCTAATTTTTTAAGCCCATTTAATTATCTCCCTACTACCCCATCCCTTCCCCAGTTCACCAGTTATCATTTATGTTCAGGATCAACATCTCTCACATGGCTTACCATTTTGACTCCAGTTCAGCCTTTCCAATAGGTAGCCATGACATCTTTCACTCAACACCACTCAAATCAGATCATGCCACTTTGTTTACAATCTTCTAATGACTCCCTATCCAGAGGCAGATGAAAAATAAAAATGCAATGACCTTATCATAGAGTCTGTTTACCTCTCCAATCTTTTCTTTTGCATGCCTGCCCTTGAACTCTTTCCTGCAGTCATAGTTAACTATATACAATTCTAAGTACAGAGCCTGCTCCCCACTTTTCTCTTAACTCCAGATTTATTCACGTCAATAATTTCCTGCTAGGGGGAACCAGCAGTTAGCGTAATGGCTATGTCGCTGGACTCCCACGCAGTCGATCGCAGTTCGCGTCCCGGACCCAGTGGCTTAAAACCCACGCCGGGCGCGTGTTCATGCCTGCCCAAGATCCCAAGAGGAGAACAGAGGAGAAGGGACTGCGGCGTGGCCATCCCCCTTGGGGGGTAATTTCTCGCTTTCTGTCTCTCTGTCTCTGTCTGTCTGGCAAGCGCACACGCTCTATCGTGAAAAACCTCTCAAAAAAAAAAAACAAAACTCCTGCTAGGGACACCCTTTTCTCCACCCCAGCTTCTGTACTTGGTCAATTCCTTCTATTGCCTCCATACTCACCATGCCTTTCTTGTTCCCACTGGACTGGACTGTCCTTCGAAACACTGTTGAAAAAGCACCTTGTACTTTATACTTATCCTTATTGGATCACTTTATCAAACGATGCTATTTACTTGATCAGCAACATATCCCCATAGTTTGGGTAGGATAAATAGTTCCCTAATGAACTACAAATAACATACGTGTACCTTTGGCATCTTAATCCCGGTTTGCTGAATCCTTACTCTTTCTACCTAATCCTTAGAATTGGACAGTCTTAGCATCTACAATACTGCCCTAAATAAATGGTTCTCAAATATAAACAGACTAAAATGACTATATCCAAACTACCTAATGAGACACAAAGATTCCCAGCCCTATCTCCCAATACCTTCCTCAAATTTGGGTCAAGGGCAGACCTGGGGTGAGGCCTAGTTATCTGTAATTTACCTACCCTCAGGTGATTCTGACTTGCAGTTATTTCTTAGAAACTACTACTCTAAGGAGAATGAGAGGTCAATAGATATTGTTGAAATTAATGTTCTAATTTACAATGGAATTATAATCCTTTTTTCTAATTCTTTAGTCTGTTGTAATTGAGTCCTTAGTGTGATAGAACAATGCACTAATGTACAAAAGTCCACAAAAACAAGCAGCCTTTATTGCAGTATTACAAAACACTTTCCATTTTGGCAATATTTTACAACGTACTGAGCTTTAAGGAATGGGAAGGAGAAAGTTGGAAACTAAAGGGGAAAATTTCAATGGACATTTCTAAAAGAAAAACTGTCCCAGCCCTCCCACCCAAATAAAAATCCAAATGTCACTTATTTCACTACCCAAGAAGAGGCCACGAGGAAAGCAGCAGGCAAAACTCTGGCAATTTCACTATGGATCATGTCAGAGACAAAGGAACATTCAAAACAGTCATCAGTATGGTCGGTTGCGCTGATCATTTCTGTAGTCGTTTCTAGGATTGAAAAATAAAGAGCCAGACTAAATTCTAATTTTCTACCAAAGGAGTATCAGATACTTCTTCAGGGTGCTGGTGACTGGCATTAGTTAGACAATTTCTTTAAGGATGACACCATGTTTAATACATTTCCATACTCTTAGAAAGTATTTAACAAATCTCTAATTTTAATCAGCTTTAGACTCACAAAATGCCTAGAAGTAGCTTTGTTATCACTAACTCTTTTAGAAATTTTCCACATAAAATAAGGACTCCAAACCAGTTACTATTTCAGAAGCTCAAAGATTGTGCCATCCCAACATTCCAAACAGCAGAGTGGCACAACTGAATGAACAAGCAAATACTTTCATGTATGAATTCTGGATCTCCCACTACTATGTGACCTTGGAAAAGTAACTAAAGGTCTCGGACTCTGCAAAATAGGAGGCATATCTAATTCATGAGGTTGATAGAATAACTAAATCTCAAGTGTACAAAAGGCACTTTACAGTATTTGTCACACAGTTAAGTGTTCAACAGATGGTTTTTATGTTAATTATTACTAATAGGTAACAATTACATAGTGCTCAATATGGGCCAGAAACTATTATAACATAATCTAATACAACTTTATTAAAAGAGGTATTATTAGCCCCATTTTACAGATGAAAAAGAATACTGATGAAAAAGAACATTGACACATCAAAAGATTAAGTAATCTGCCTAAGGTCACAGTTAATAAGTGGTAAAGCCAGTCCTGAATCCAGTCTTGTAGCCCAACTTCAAATTCTTTTCCACATTCCACATCAATTCTTCCTACCCCATACTGCCTCTGGCACACATATTCTTAGCATAATTGAAATTATGTTACATCACTGGTTCATCTTTTTCTGCCTTCACACCATTCATGTACACAACACAGACCCATTAGTGGATTTCACTGGAAAAGGCATTATCAGAATTTCCAGAGAAACAACTGCAGTGTAGCATATATGATTTGATTAAAGAATGCTCCTTTGGGGACCAGCAGGTGGCGTGGTGGTTAAGGCACTGGACACTCCCACATGGCCGACCAGGGTTCAAGTCCTGAATCTGGTGGCTTGCTTTCTCACTTCCTCTCTCTCTCTCACCCCCTCTATCTCTCTCTGGTCAAACTAAAAATAAATGAATTAATAAATAAAATAAAATAAATAATTATTTTTTTAAAAAAAGAATGCTCCTTTGAAAGGTATGCTCTTCCCTCACTCAAATGAAGAACAACTGATTTGGGGGACTTCTAAAAGCTTGTGGAAAAATGGAATTAAAGTATGAGCTTATTTTGGTGCAAAAACTTTGAGATCCATAGACAGCTTTTTCATAATACACATTCTCTATAAACTTTTTAAAGGCCCCTTATACTATTTCAAGTTGTTATCTATCTCAATTATTTTTATTTAGCTATGAAAAACATAATACACACATATACCTGAAGGAACACAATGATTTATAAATAAGAATTTCCAAAATAAAATAAATTTTAAGAAACTACTAAGCAGGAAACTAAATGCATCTTCTCCATTTTAATTGAGAGCATTGCCAATGGAAAATTCATGTTCCAAAAGGTTGGACAAGAAAAAGTGAGAAAAAGGACTCAAACCCTAAAATCTAGGAGCGATGAGACAAAAGGTTAATACTAATACTCACCTTCCTCCCATTTTGCCTCCATAGCCACCTCGGTCTCCTCCATAGCCCCCACCTCGGTCTCCTCCATAGCCGCCACCACTCCTGTCTCCTCCGTAGCCTCCACTTCGGTCTCCACCATAGCCACTGCCACCACCACGGTCTCCTCCGTAGCCCCCCCGACTTCGATCTCCTCCATAGCCTCCCCGATCTCCTCCATAGCCTCCCCGATCTCCACCATAGCCTCCTCGGTCTCCACCATAGCCCCCTCCTCGGTCTCCACCATAGCCACCTCGGTCACCTCCATAGCCGCCTCCTCGGTCTCCGCCATAGCCGCCACCTCGGTCCCCACCATAGCCACCTCCTCTGTCCCCACCATAGCCACCCCCACTTCTGTCTCCACCATAGCCACCCCCACTTCTGTCTCCACCATAGCCACTGCCACCACTTCTGTCCCCACCATAGCCACCCCCACTTCTGTCTCCACCGTAGCCACCTCGGTCTCCACCTCTACCCCCACGACCTCTGTAGCCCCTCTCTCCACCGTAGCCTCTCCCACGGAAATCTGCAAGGAAGAAATGCAAACCAGTGAGGCCAGCAGAATAACACAATCTCCTTAATGCCATTCAGAAGAAAAGCATCACACAGACCTACCTCCTCCTGAAGGACGAGAGTCCTCTGGTCTAGGCTCATTGCACTGATTGCAGGAATTCCTTCGAGCAAAATTCATATTTCCACATGACCTGCCAAAAAAGGAAAAAATAATGTCCTTAGATAGCTCCTGATGTACTCAGGATCTCTTCTTACATCCTTCAATCCTAATCTCAACCCTTATTCCCACCAAAGTAAATGGGATACGTACGGATTAGGACAAACCCAGTCACCACTTTTGGGGTCTCCACCTCTCCCCTGAAAGCCTCCACGACCTCTATATCCTCCACGGCCTGGGGATAATGGGGACAAGGAGAAACCCGCAGTAGACATTAACAAAAAAAAAAAAAAAAAAGGAAAAACATCAGATGAAAGAAATAAGAGCAAGTACCCACCAATACCTGAGCTGATTCCCCACTACCACCACCAGTTCAGAACCTTCTCTTGTAGCAGGACTCTAATTCTTTGATAGTGGGACTTTATTTAATAAATGCAAAGAACATGAGACCAGACTCCAGGGACAATTATAGCGCAAATAATGCACTAAAAAGAGTCGAAGTGTATTTTCTATAATACCTTATCTCATTTGAGACTCTAAGTAATTAAAGGTTAAGTTAGAAATGAATTCCAAATCTGAAGAACCCAAAAGAAATAAAGAAGCTAGCAATAACTGTCAGGGAGCTTAGAATCTGGTCAGATTAACTACCTAATTAGGTAGTTAAATAACTGTCAACTTTCCAGATAAACAACAAGTATATACAGCTTTCCAAGGGACTTCTATAGCTTTCTCCCACCACTTTTCTTAACTATCATGACAACTCATTTACCTAATCTCTTATTCAGTACCTGTCCCATTTTAAGAAAGAAAGAGGGAACCAGCAGTTAGTGTAATGGCTATGTCGCTGGACTCCCACGTAATCCACCGCGGTTCACGTCCCGGACCCGGTGGCTTAAAACTCATGCCGGGCGTGTGTGCGTGCGTGCCCCAAGATCCCAGGAGGAGAATGGAGGAGAAGGGATTGTGGCATGACCATCCCCCCTGGGGGGTGATTTCTCGCTTTCTGTCTCTATGTCTCTCTCTGTCTGTCTGGCAAGCGCACGTGCCCTATAGCAAAAACCTCTCCAAAAATTAAAGAAAGAAAGAAAAATACCGAGTGAGGAAAAAACAACATGGACTTAAATTCAAACCCTGTGTATAGGATCCAGGCCTATGAGCAGCAAGTATCTTACCTCGACGCCCACCTCCACTTCCACCTCCTCTCATGAATTCAGGTCTTCTAGTAGCAAAAGATACTTTAATGATATTGCCATGGAATTCTTTTCCTAAAAACAAATTTTAAAAGTTTTGAAGAAACAATACTCCATACCTCCACTTCCCTACAAAAATACAAACTGCCTTAAAATTTTTTATTTTTAAAGGAGTAACATCTCACAGAAATTCAAATACACGAATCTTCCAAATAGTCAAGGTAACAGTGTGAAAACATGATGATATCTACTGACTAAAGTAGACCAGTCACTAGGAGACAGTTACATAAAAAAAGCCAACTGTAGACCAATAAAGTATGCTGTCATTTCTATTTCTTAAAAAGACTGAGTATGTATGGGTACCTGCATGTATATCATTATATAGCCACAAATATGCTTGTATAAGGAGTCTTCGAAAAGCTCATGGAAAAATGTGTACTATAAAAAAACTGCATGAATTTCAAAATTTTTGCACCAAAAAAATTTTTTTTTCTTTTTCACTTTTTGTCACAAGGCACGTGTGCTTGCCAGAGGGAGATGGAGTTGGGGGGAGTAGATGGAGTTGAGAGGAGGAGACCAAGCAACAAAGCCCCCACGTGAGGCATTATCACGCCACAATTCTTTCTCCTCCATTTCTCCCTCCTTTCGGAATTCTGGACACCCATGCATACATGCATAACATGTTTCTCTAGCTGCTGAGTCTGGGACTTAAACCCCATGGACAGCCTTGTGGGATCCAGTTGCCTTAACCATCAGGCCACAAGCCTAACACAAATTCACATTTTTAAAAAATTATGTAAGTTTATTTATTTACTTACTTTAATTTGACCAGAGTGAGACAGGGTGAGTGTGCAAGAAAAAGTGATAAAGCAAGCCACTAGGTCCAGAACTCGAACCACAGTCGGCCATGAGGGAGTCCAGCACCCTTAACCACCACACCTGCCAGCCCCCAAAACTTATACTTTAGTTTCATTTTTCTACAAACTCTTCGAACTTCCCTGGAATATGCACTTCTCACTGTGCTTATCTCTCAAGAGGGGAAACAAGATAACTAAGGCATCAAAGATGGAAAATAAATTTTTTCTTTGAGAGAGATTTTTGCTATTAGCACATTGTGCTTGCTAATGAGACAGAGACAGAGAGACAAAAAGCAAGAAATCACCCTCCAGGGGGATGGCCACACCACAATCCCTTCTCCTCCATTCTCCTGGGATTTTGGCCATGCACACACATGCACCCAGCTTAAGTCCAAGACTCAACTCACAGTCAACTATATGACAGTCCAGCAACTATGTAGTCAAACACGGTCAACTACATAAGAGTTCAGTGCATTAACCACTATACTACCTGCTGGTCCCAAAGAACCTTACTTTAAAAAACAAAGAAAGAAACCAGATTTTTGCTATAGGGTGTATTATGCACTGGCTGGAGAGACAAAGAAAGCGAGAAATCACCCGCCCCAGGGGGGATGGCCATGCTGCAATCCCTTTTCCTCCATTCTCCATTTTGGGCGCACATGTGCCCAGCCTGAGTTTTGAGCCCCAGGGTCTAGGACTCAACCCACAGTCAACTACATGGCAGTCCAGCGACATAACCATTACTCCAACTGCTGGTCCCAAGAAACTCATTTATGAACCATACACCACTGGTACTGTTCAAAATTGTTTTTACTACATGCAAGGAGTGTATTTTAAAATAGTGTACATATGACTACTTAAATATATGCACATATATACATATCCTGCTGCTCCATAGTCTTAGGAACAAAAATTAAACTTTTCATATTAAATAAGAAAACTAATGTGTACTAAAAAAAGTGCTCAAGGATTCATAAATGGTTATAAATTCAAGAGCCTTAGCTCTTTAACGAGAGTCCTTATCATTGTAGCTGGTAACTTCCCATGTCTGAGATTTTGAAAAGCACTTTGACCTAGGAAGCAACTCACAGATCAGTATCCTAAAAGCTTCAGTAACTTAACTGGATCTGAACTACGGAAATAGGTTTAAGAGGTTCATATGTCCTAAAGACAAAAGTTGCTATAACTTTTTAATATAACATAAGCAAAATAAATTACTTTATGATTCACAGAAGCTATAAAAGCAGAAAAGTGAGAAAGAACAGAGTAAGTCTTCAAGAGCAAAGTGCTAAGATTAGTGTAAAAAGTAAATGATACAGAAATGGGGAAAGACAGGGTAACATAATTTCATTTTAAGATTAGTAAAGAAATGTGATTATGGGCCCAGCAGGTGGTATGGTGGAGGTTAAGGCAGCTAGCTGGCTGACTAAGCAGTTCTGAGTCCTGGACATGACAGCTTGGAAAACACCAGTATGTGAGTATGCTCAAAATCCTGAGAGGAGAAAGGAGGAAAAGGGACTGTGGCAATGGCCACCCCTCCAGGGGCTGATTTTTCACTTTCCCTCTAACTTTCTCTCTCTCCCCCCTGGGGGCCAGTGCACATGTTCTATAGCAAACAAACAAAGCAAAAAAGAAAAAAAGGTGACTGCAGATAAAAGGGGAAAAAAAATTATGTTTAGAAGACACAGGTCCAGGACCAGCAGTTGGAGTAATGCTATGTCGCTAGACTCCCATGTAGTCGACCATGGTGTGAGTCCCAGACCCAATGGCTTAAATTCATGCCAGGTGCATGTGCATGCATGCCCAAGATCCTGAGAAGAGAATGGAAGAGAAGGGATCGGGGCGTGGCCATCCCCCCTGGTGGGGTGATTTCTTGCTTTCTGTCTCTCTGGCAAGCACGCATACTCTCTCAAAAAAAAAAAGACAGGTTCAATTATCTCCTAACTTGCAGGAACTTCAAATGTCTCGTCAATCCAGCATGGCTAGGTACTTTTTGAAGACAACGTAACCAGCCTGGCTGATTCTGAATCCTGACTCTCACTTTTCTGTAACCTTGGAAATCACATAGCTTCTGTGTTTCATCATCTCTAAAATGGAAATATTAGGGCAGGTCTCATGAAGACTAAGTTAATGCACGTAAAGCTCTTAGAATTATGACTAGTTTGAGGCCAGCAGGTGACATAGTGGTTAAGACAGCTGGACTCCCACAGGGCTGAAAGTGGTTCAAGTCCCAGACCTGGTAGCTTCCTTTCTCACTTTCCTTCTCTCCTCTATCCCTCTGTGGTCAAATTCAAAAAATTAAATAAATAAAATAAAATGACAATTAATAAAAATTAAATAATTCTTTAAAATAACAATTATGACTAATTTACAAACCACAGTAAATACACAGTAAGAGTTATTAAATTAGGGCAAAACAAAAATGATGAATTTGTGATAACATGGACAGCAGACTATACTAAAATGCTAAATAAAAAAACATAGGCTGGCCACACAGTCTAGTAGTTAAGGAAGCCAAATCCCATATGGACAAACACACAGTTCAAATCCTGGACCCAGGGGCTTGAAAGACACTCCAAGCACATGTGCCAAGTGCATGCCCAAAATCCCGACAGGATAGGGAAATAGAGAGGGGACTACGGCACAAGCATGCTCCACTGGAGGTAGAGTGTTTTCTCCTTCAAAGTTTCTCTCCAGAGAGCGTGTGCATCTCTGGCAAATTTAAAACAAACAAAACCCACAATACAAAACTGTACTTAGAGTATCATGATAAAAGGACCAGAAAGAAAACTAATGAAAAATATTATCAATGGCAATCTCTACACAGAACATATCTATGAATGCCTTTACTAGTTTCTTCTACTTTACCATATTTTCCTATTTCTAGCGGGAAAAAAGATCTTACTATTTGAGTATGTATTATCATTATGGTTGAAAAGAAATTAGTCTAAATTTAAAAAGAATATATAATCTGGGACCAGTAGTTAGTGTAATGGCTATGCTGCTGAACTCCCATGTAGCTGACCGCGGTTCGAGTCCCGGACCCAGTGGCTTAAAACTCAGGCTGGGGGGACCAGCAGTTAGCGTAATGGCTATGTCGCTGGACTCCCAACGTAGTTGACCGCGGTTCGCGTCCTGGACCCGGTGGCTTAAAACTCACGCCGGGTGTGTGTGCATGCATGCCCAAGATCCCGAGAGGAGAATGGAGAAGGAATTGAGGCGTGGCCATCCCCCCTGGGGGGTGATTTCTCGCTTTCTGTCTCTCTGTCTCTCTCTGTCTGTCTGGCGAGTGCATGTGCCCTATAGCAAAAACCTCTAAAAAACAAAACAAAACAAAACCAAAAAAAAAAACAACAACAAAAAAAAACCCTCAGGCCGGGCGCATGTGCATGCATGCCCAAGATCCCAAGAGGAGAATGGAGAAGGGATTGCGGCCATCCCCCCAGGGGGTGATTTCTCGCTTTCTGTCTCTCTCTGTCTTTCTGAGGAGCGCACGCGCCCTATAGCAAAAACCTCTCCAAAAAAAATATAATATATAGTCAACCAGGCCATCTGCCTAAACCTATAAGCAGGGTGGCCTCATGCATAAAACATGATGTAAGAAAATACTCTAGATAAACATGAATACAGCTCATTTCATTCTAAAGATGCATAACACTCTAGCCTGTATTATTATTTATTTTTAAGATTCATTTAATTTTATTTATTATCATTATTCTTCTATTTGACCAGAGAGAGAGAGAGAAAGGAAGTTGCCAGGTCCAGGACTCAAACCATAGTTGGCCATGTGGTTGTCTAGTTACTTAACCAACACGCCACCTGTTGGCCCCACCTATATTCTTAACATCTGCTAAGGTAAAGAACATAATCGTCTCAGAAGATATTTTTGACTTCCAGACTAGAAAACACTTATCCAAACTTCATAGTAAAAACTGCATAAATAAGGCATACCATCAAACCAGTCAATGGCTGCCTTAGCTGATGGAGGGTCATCAAATGACACTGTTGCCTCTCCTTTTGGCTTCCCTGTATCCTTGTCTGTATAAAGATTTATCATTGGTTTTCCAGTCTTCTTGTTTGTCTGAGGAAAAACAAGTTACATAAAGATGTAATTTTTAAAAAGAATTCACATATCCATATTACTAAATACTACATACCTAATATAAAAATTAAGTTATCTATAAGTCTGTACAAGGAAAACTCTCCAAGATGTATTAAGTGAAAACCAAGTTACAAAAATAAACTATTTTACCTACTGGGTCATCAGGAAAGTCATGATGCATTTTTTACATAGAAAAATATGTCATGACTTCCCCGGCAACATAAGTATACAACATAAGTATAATCTAATCTCCTTAAACCCCCAAAAATTAAATGTAAATAATGCTCTATGTAAATATATCTTGTGAGACATTTTCAAAAATCAAGAAGGATGTTCATCAAGCAAATCATTAGGTTACCACTAAAAAATACCCTAGGTATGGATGGGATGAAATAAAGGGAGAATTTTCATTTTATCAAAACAATGTAATGTGAAAACATATTTCATATACTTTTTTTAAATTTTAACTCCCCAAAGAAGGGGAAAAATAAGTAATTCCATAGACATCCAAACAGGGACAAATGTAAACTGATTTCAAATAAGTACTACTGTCTACTAAACACTACTCTTAATGCTTCTTTCTAGTTAGAAAAATGAAAAATGCATGCATGAAATATATAATGCACTAAAGTACTTAAGAATAAATTTGAAATAATGCAGGATATATTGAGCCAATAATTAATATATGTTGAGAATCCCCTATCAGAAATGCTTGAAACCAGAAATGTTTCAAATTTTAGATCTTTTTGGATTTTAGAGTATTTGCATATTGAGGATGAGAACCAAGTCTAAACACACAATTCTTTTATATTTCATATACATCTTATATACACAGACAATGTTTTTGTATTGCAGTGTTCCTACTGTGACCCTCACATAGGATCAGATGTGATATTTTCTACTTGTGGCATCATGTCAACACTCAAAAAGTTATACTTTCAAGTATTACAGATTTTGGTTTAGAGATGTACAGACGTTAAATACAAAAATAAACACAAACTGTTAGTAACAACTGTAGTCTGCATATACTGGCATTTCAGAATCTATAGAATGTTCTCATTATCCCCTTTGGTTCTTCCAATTTTCAAAGACCATTTTTAGAGCCCTAGGACTGAAGTTAAAGCAAAGATAGGAAATAAGAAAGGTAAACACAACTAAGAAATAAACTTTTTATATACTTAGCAAATTTAGCAAAAGTTCAGATATGAATAAAAGTGTATATTACCAAAGGATTTTAAGAGATAAGCCTTATTGGAATACACAGGCTTATTATGTAATTGGTGTATCTTAATCAAAATCTTAATAGGGAATTTTCAACATGCACCATACTTTCTACTCACCTTGATAATTCCTATTTGTTTAAAGAACTCTCCCACTTGATCTGTAGACACACCCTCCCCAAGTCCTTGCACAAAGATTGTGTTGTTATCTGAATTATCAGATTCTGAATCTAAGGGGGGAAAAGCTATGGTTAATTTTTTATATTTCTTGATTTTTCTGTGTCCTGCACAGTAACCAATAATAATTTATTGTCCACTATTCAACTGTTTCTATAACCAAAAACAAAGGATGAAATTTAAGAAGACTCTTACATAAACATGCAAAGTGTTCACAACAGTCATTTGGTAGTAGATCAACTCTTACAACTAAGGTTCAGGTAAAGTGGATCAAGTTCACATGATGTGAAATACATATAGACCAATTAAGGTAAGTCTTACAAATGTCCACTCTTCAGATTCAAATATAGGGCTAAAGTTCATTAAGAGATGAAGAGAGTTCATTTAAATTAGATCACTTCTTTCTCTGGAGAACAATGATTTTTTTATGGCTATTTTGAGGCTCTCTAACAGAAAATTTTCTAAATGTGACACTTTGGACTTCCAAGCAAGCCAAGCAGAATTGTTGGTTTCCCATTCATTGCAATAAGCTTGTATATACCAGAGGGTAGAGGCACCTTGTACACTCACCTTACCTTACATGTACACTTTTGTATTAGTACAACAAAGTAAGAAAGATGTACAAAAATTCAGTCCATCAAGGGGTAATTCAGAAATTGCCATCCATATAGAATACTTTGGGATCTTAATAAAAACAAAAGTTCTGATTTCAATATATATTAAAAATTTTTGGCTCAAATAGATTTTTAACCTCTATATTTAACTTTCAAGGGGCTCCATGAGTAAATCTGCAGCCTTGAATTTTACTTAAAAATAAAAAGCCACATAAAAGTAGTGACTTCTATCCAGAATAAGATAATTCTCTCTATGAATTCACGTTTCTTAGGCCTATTAAGCACATTACCAATCCAATATAGGATTTCTTTTCTTCCTTCTTTTAATTTTCTCTATAGGGTATATGTGGAGAGAGACAGAGAGAGAATGAGAGCGGGGGTGAGAAAGCACCTCCCAGGGGGCATTATCACACAATAATATCTTCTCCATTGTTCTCTGGAGATTTTGGGCATGCACGCACATAGTGCCTGGCGTGTTTTTCAAGCCACCAGGACTTACACAGCTCAGTTGGTCATGTGGGATCCAACTGCCTTAACCATCCAATCATCTGGCTGGCCCCCAACATAGGATTTTTCTCGAGCACAGCTTTTCTACTTCTAATTCCCCAATGATACTAGTATTTTTATTAATTTGGATTCGTAATAATTAACACTACCTCAGTGGTAAAATCTCAAGCATTTCCACAAAAATACCATGGAAAAGCACAAGTAAAACAATTTACCCCAGGAAACTTTCCCATCAATCCCTTTAATATTTCTTTCTGGCATTTCTTTAGAAAGGAAGTTCCCCAGTTTGACAGCACTATCAAATAAAATCTTCCTCCTATACTAAACCCCTCCAAACAAACATACACACTTTTCCATTTAAAAACATGGAATTTGCCCAACTACGAATTCATAAACTACAATAAATCTTACCAGCATCTGGTCTGGGTCCATAATCCCTGTGACCTAAGGGAAAAGATAGATAAAAAAGCTACTTAAGCCAACTCGCTTGGAATCATAAAAAAAGTAATAATAACCAAGGCATGAAAAGTCAATACTTCCAAAATCCTTGAAAGTCAACCATCACAGAATTACAATGTAAATATATAAATTAAATTTTATTAAAAGTTTAAAAAAAAATCAAGATGAATATCAACATTTCCTTAAACCTGTCCTAGATGACACCCACTACTTTGTCATTATGCTAGAATCACTTTTGTTATAAACTCTGGCTATGAAGGCTGATTAGAAAACCCTAAAAACTTAAAAACACCACGTCAAGCTACCTCTATTAAAAAACAAAACAAAACAAACAAACAAACAAACAAAAAAACCATACTATCAAAATCCAGTGAAGGTCTCATTCATTGGTCACCACAGACTCTTTCATGCAAATTCACAGTGTAAAAACCTACTGGACTGTTCAAGATCAACTCCGGCTTTTTAATGTTTAGATATATATATGCGTGTGTGTATATCTATATATATACACACACAATTTTTTTTAAATCACACAACACACACCAGCCTCAACAGAATAAGAAAGAACTTAAGACTGCGTCTGCGGGACATTGGTGGCTTTTAGGTTTATATAGCATTTCCACTGAAACATTTTGGGATACTCAGCACTTACCACCAAAATTTTTGAAGCCACCGCGGTCACCACCACTGCAGAGGAAAAATTGAAGAAATGATTTCTTCCTTAAGTCTCTAATGTGCTGAGCCCTGGGCTCAATCTACACTTAACTGTCACAAGTAGAGTGCCTAGGAAAACAGTAGCACCTCTAACTTTCCAGTAAATTCCATTTCATAGATTTCAAAATGTTGTTTCCATCTAAGTGTTGGCCCAAGGACTTTTTCCACAAGAAGACTTCAGGATTATACAATGTATCTAATATACCCTTATTTTTAAATCTTCCCAACCCCAAGCAAAAGGGATACTACTGAAACCATAACTTAGAGCTGGAGGCACAGAATAAAAAATACTAAACTATGCAAGTATTCTTTCAAAGGGTTATTATTAAAATATAAGAAAAAGGATAATAGAATATAAAACAAGGTTAAGATTTTGATAATAGAATGGGAGGTAAAAATCTGAATTAAGTTCTGCTATGATATCAAATAGTGGCTTTTATGAAATGAATAAAAAAAGATACAAATATACACACAAGTGAGTCTGAATGAAAATAGTCTTAAAATTTTCAGTCAGTCAGGAATCTGCTAGTCAAGACTAAAAAAAAGCATTATTTTAAATTATCTTCCTACTCCATAACCATTATAATATATTAGATCTCTTCACACCAGAGCTACTGAGGTTCATGCTACCAAATGCTTACACCAATCAGCAGGGCACATCAGAGACAACACAACATACGCCAATACTCCAGCTGCCCACAAGACAACTTTATTTGCCAGAGAAGTCAATGGTCCTTGAGCACGTAGTTTATATGTAAGAAATCTAAGGTCCCTCTTATCAAGACTCTTTACCGATTCAATGGAAGCTTGTTTCTCTTGACTGAATTACAGTCCTCTTAAGATTTATGTCCTGACATGGAAATAAACATACTCAGTTTTCAGAGATCAGGGCTATCTGATCTTTTACTAATAATCTTATTCTAGTACAGTCCTTTAACAAAAAGCTAATTCAAAACAGTCTCTCGCCACTTCAAAATGTCTGCTTCAGTGATTACCTTATCTTCTAGATGGCTAATGGTAAGCCATCTTGAAAAAAAAAAAAAAAAAAACACTCAGGAATAAATGAGAAAGCATTTTCCCTTTTAAATAAGCCTATTATAATGCTTTGACACAGAAATATTTTCCCTTGCACCTGAGTTAGATACAGACACATCCATTTTAATTTATTTTTATTTTTTATAGGCTTTCCAGGGAAACTTTTAAGCAGAGTAAATAAGGCTATTTCAAGACAATGCAGACAATATGAAGCTCAAGTCCTTCATATAGGTATAGTCTGCTAGTCTCTAAAAACCCCTAACTTCAGAACCATACCCAAGCTCCCCCTATACTTATAAATGTCTAGTGATACCACAAGAGGGCTTCAAAAAGTTCATGGAAAATATGTATTATGAAAAAATGATGCTCAGACTTCAAAATTTTTGCATGAAAACAAATTCAACTTTAGGTAAGTTGCTGTAAACTTTTAAGAATTATTTTCACTTATTTATTTATTTATTTATCTGTTTTAATTTGACCAGAGAGAGACTGTGTGTGTGTGTGTGTGTGTGTGTGTGTGTGTGTGTGTGTGTGTGTGTGAGAGAGAGAGAGAGAGAGAGAGAGAGAGAGAGAACGAGCGTTAGAGAGGAGGAAAGCGAGGAAGCAAGCTACCAGGTCCAGGACTTGAACCACAGTCAACTATGTGGGAGTCCAGCGTCCTTAACCACGCCACCTGCCAGGCCCTCCACGAACTTTTTGAAGTCCCCTTGAATATTCACTCATATTAAACAACTCCCTTGTTTGGTTCTTTAAAATAGGAAAGCCACATGTTTTTCAGATTAAACAGCTAAAATCTTATTATTAGGAACCAAGACACCTCAGGTTTCTTCAAAGATAATCATTAAAATGCCAAGAAGTGATGAGAAAAGAGAACGAGTGAAAATTAAGCCCACATTTTTTTATGTCAAAAGAGTAAAGTAAAGTCCCTAAAATAAAATAAACCTTTATAATAACAAAGTAGGCAACTCTCAATTACTCTGCTTTCATCTTAATAAAATACCAAATTGTTTATCTGGCCACAATTGAAGGAAAATATACAATTTCATACATGAGCTAATTCCTGTCATTTCTACTCTCACCAGCTATATAACAACAACAAAAAGACATATGCCAGCAAAAAGAAAAGGGACACAAAACATGACATTTGAACAGTTTTGTAATTTCCATATTTTGACATTTTGTCATCTTTACTAAGCATTTCCTTTGAAAGTAAAGCAGGCCGTAGATTTCAACACAATGATCATAAATACTACAATGAAAAAAGAACTAGTCCTTTTTTTAGAGAGATTTCTGTTATAGAGCACGTGTGCTCACAGGAGAGACAGAGACAGAAAGCAAGAAATCACCCTCAAAAGGAGATGGCCATGACGCAATCCCTTCTCCTCCATTCTCATGTCGGGATTTTGGGCACACATGCACACATGCCTGGCGTGTGTTTCAAGTTGCTGGCCATGGTCAGCTATGTGGGGGTCCAGCAATATAGCCATTATGCCAGCTGCTGACCCCAAAAGGACTAGTCTGAAAACCAAGAGACTCAAAATGTAGTCTTTTTTTTTTTTTGGAGAGGTTTTTCACTATAGGGCACGTGTGCTCGCCAAACAGAGACATAGAGACAGAAAGCCAGAAATCACCCCCCAGAGGGGATGGCCACGCCGCAATCCCTTCTCCTCCATTCTCCTCTCAGCATCTTGGGCACACACGCACATGTGCCCGGCGTGAGTTCTAAGCCACCGGGTTCGGGACGCGAACTGCGGTCGACTACGTGGGAGTCCAGCGACATAGCCATTACACTAACTGCTGGTTCCCTCAAAATGTAGTCTTAATTATCACTAATCAATCTTGAAAATTTAGACCAGTCAGTAATTTTCCCTAGGCATCAGTTTCCTCCTCTATAAAATAACGACCTGGGTAAGCCAAGTAGAATGATGGTTAAGGCAGCTGGATCCCACATGACTGACTGTACGGTACAAGTCCTGGACCCTGTGGCTTGAGAAACTCGCCGAGTATGTGCATACATGCCCAAAACCCCAAAAGGAGAAATGAAGGAAAAGGTATTAAAGCGTGGCCACCCCCCACGGGAGGTGCTTTCTTTCTCTTCCTCTCTCTCTCTCTACCTCCCTCCCTGGTAAGCACCCTCTAGCCAAAAAAAAAACAAAAAAAAAAAGCCAAAGGAAGTCTGCATCTTACTACTCAAAAGGTAGTCCATGGACTAGCAACATAAACTTATCTTGGCAGCTTCTCAGAAAAGCAAGATCGGGACCAGCAGTTAGCGTAATGGCTATGTTGCTGGACTCCCATGTAGTCGACCGCGGTTCGAGTCCCGACTTGAAACTCACGCCGGACACTTGTGTGCGTGCGTGCCCAAGATCCGGAGAGGAGAATGGAGGAGAAGGGATTGCAGCGTGGCCATCCCCCCTGGGGGGTGATTTCCTGCTTTCTGTCTCTCTGTCTCTCTCTGTCTGCCTGGCGAGCACATGCGCCCTATAGCAAAATCCTCTCCAAAAAAAGGAAAAAAAAAAAAAGAAAGAAAGAAAGAAAAGAGAAGATCTCAGGCACTTCCCAGCCAGATCTATAATTCACAATCTTAATAAGATCTCCATCTGATTCATAAGCATATTAAGATCTGACAGTCAAACAATGATCTAGATGATCTATTTTATGTGAACTTTCTTTCAAGTTCAACTGTTTTCATCATTTTTTCTCTCCTTATTGGGAAATTCTGTATTAATTAGCTACATTATAATCCCTTGTTAGGCAATTAAGAATCTTTCTCTCAAACCTGCTGTCAAACTACAAGTCTCTTTTCCACATAAGGGCTCACTAGCAAATTAAGACACAATGGTACTCGAACATAAACAAGACAAGATGTTGCCGGGACAAATGTGTTTACTTACTCAAAAAAAGCAACAAACATTTTCAGAGTTCCATAAGTAAGAACATTTTAAAGTTAAATTACAGTAGAGATATTTAACAGAGACACAATTAAAGCAAATTCAGCTTTATTGGCTTAAGAAAACTAGTTGTATATTTGACAATTGTGGAGATGCTTCTCCCAAGTTCAAAATCACAATGAGCAGAGTAGACTCCAAAGGGTCCTTTGTTATTTTATAATAATAACCAAACATTCAGAGAACAGATTCAATTCCAAGTGCTTGCCAAGAAAGTAAGTTATTTGACAGAATGTCTATTCCTTATATTTAATTTTTTAAAAAAAATAGTTTAGGCCAGCCAGGTGGCATGATGGTTAGGCTGCTGGAAATCACATAGGTAACTTTCTAGTTTAAGTCCCAGACCCAACAGTTTGAAAAATCACACCAGGTGTGTGTGTGTGTGTGTGTGTGTG